TATGTAAAAAAAAGAGGAGAGAAGAGACTGTTCTGGTCAATTGAATATTTTAATATCTGCATTGCCTTCATAGCGCAATTAAAGCGATCTTTAAAATTCACTTATTACAAATGTTTGTCAAGTCTGTTTTTCTCCAGAAACATTTTTTTTTTCTTGCTTCCTTGCACATACACCCAAACACACTATAAAAACTTCATTCATAACATCAAGGAAGGGCAATCATCATTCATGTAAACATCTTTCTTAGAGTTATCCATTTTTAAAAGTCATGAATAAACCTACAGATGTTCAGTAAGGCTCATAGTTCTAGTACAAATGTCATAAAACACCTATCAAGTACTGTATACAAGTTAAATACTCCGGGGTTAACTGTTAATGCATGTATAAGCTTACCCCAAGGATTATTCCTTAGCACTTAGTTCGTCAGAACAGACACCCAAAAAGTATGGGCTAAAGAGTATTAAAATAGCACAAGGCCCAGCAGAAACAGTAAATAGTACACAATTTTAGTCTGGATTTTAGCTCAATAGTTAAATTCAGTACAGGTACAGTAGGAAAAAAATGTAGGAGGAAATCTGCAGAAAGGAGGGATGAGTGGGGTTGTACAATATCACAGAGGGAAAAGCTGAGAGGTCTGTCCTAAAGATGAGACTGGCCTTGCTACTGCAATGATTTACGACAGCTGTGTGTAACGCTGCATAAATATTCTTCCTCAAACAGCAGAGATGACATTTTTTCATTGCAAAGATAATTTACGTCATCCTCCATTAGAAAAAAAAAAATCTACTTATTGGTATTCAATTACACTTGCATCTTACAAAAAGACATCCTTTTAAATTTGGTTTACATCTGGTGGGAAGTTTTTTTTTTTTTTTTTTTTAAATATTCATTCTACCATGAAAATATTTCATACAAACATCAGTTTACTTACAAATATGTTAAAACTTGTGAAGAGGGTCTTCCCACACTTGTCATTTTATGGCTTGAACATTTCATTGCTTAGAATTTTTTGTGTATATAGTTCTCTTGGAAAAAAGAAAAAAAATGTACTTACAGGAAAACCGGCAGAGAAAGGGGCGGGAGCTTCAATTGCCTGAAGACAGAAGAGAGCCAAGAGGAGGGTCCATTCAACAGATAGCGACCTTAGTGTTCAAAACCTTTGATCTGGGGCAAGTAAACATGCACTCAATCTTGCACCTTTTTTAAAAAAGAAAATCCTTTGTAAGGCTGTTTAGAAATGCTACTTCCAAAAATACAGCTCTCATGTTTCTAGCACACAAAGCACAAGGACCGAGTCCTCCCTCATACAGCACGAGGGGTATACGAACGTGTGAGGCCCACACTGGTGTTGAGCCTGCTCCCACGTCCGTGTTCCGAGCACAAACACTCGGAGCGCACGGCAGCGCGGCTGGTGTGAGCGGGCAGGCGTCTAACGCAGCAGCGCGGCACGCAAGGAAATACACTAGCAACACTGCGCTCAAAGCACCTTTTGACCTGCTTGGAGGTGAATTCGCGAGGCACCCGCAGCCTCAGAAGTTCTGCTGGGTGGTGGGTAAGCCAAGGAGCAGGGGACTGGCTCTGTACAACTCGCCACCTCAGCACAACATGGTATTTTCTAAAAGACTGTCCTGTCGAATTAAATGAAAAGATTAAAAAAATAAATATCATAGAGGTCTCTAGGACAGAATAAAGTGTCCTGGCTCAGTCTAACTGGTCAGCACTGGGACAGGTCAGCACCAAAGCATAAATGCCACCAGGGACAGCGATGGGGACAACCCATCTCTGTATGGGGGCCACACCTGGCCTGAAGCCAACTGAGAAGGAAAGAGAAATGTGGTTTTTACCACTCCTAGCATCTTGCAGCAGATCGGATACATTGCCTGCCCTGATCCTAGAGCTCCTGGAGGAAGTGCAAAACCCTCCAACAACGCTCTCACTTCCACGTGAGCAAAGTGGGGGACAGCCCCAGGAAGGAAACTAAAGCCACGGCCAACCGCGTACAACACTAGAAGAAACTGCGTAACCATGCACAGCTCCAGGCACAAGCTGACTGCTCAGCACCCAAACGCAAGCACCACCCAGGACCATCCCAGTGGCTATTGCCACAACGGTAAAAAAGTCAGGATCGAGTACTCAAAATCCATTTCCATGCATTTGATTTTTTTTCAGCTGTCAGGACTTATGTTCACTTCTGAAGCTTATTTTTCTTTAATTACTACAAAGGAAAAAAAAAAGGGAAAAAAAAAAGGAAAAAGAAGCCTTTTCAGATTTTTGAAGGTTGCTAAAATCAGGCATTTCAGTAGATCCCAAAGAGGTCATATTATATCATCAGCCTTCACATGAGATGTCCTCTCGAGGTCTCATGCCTTCCTCCTATCCAAATAGCAATCCAGCAGCAGGCAGCGTCTCAGCTGTACCTCCTCCTGAGCTCCACTCCCCAAGACTGCCTGCTGCTCCGGAATATTAAGCCTCTCTGTCCTCAGTGACAAAACACAGTGCTGCCCTGGCAAGACTATATATATTTATACTTTTTTTTAATAGGTGATCAATAGACACTAGTACAGGCTGGTGTCTGCTCCTTCTCGTCTAGGGGCTCAGAGAACAACTTTGTTGTAGAACCAGTTTGTATCAAGATCCTGCACAAGTGTGGAAGCTGGGAAACAACCCCTACCTGAAAAAAGCAGCAGTTCCGAACTCTTTTATTCGGCTTCTTAGTCATAAAAGGTACGCTGAGCACCAGCTGGTGATCCAGGTTCAATCTGCCAGCTGCTCCTCTTCCAATTGCTGTTCCAGTAGGACAGGTCTTTGGCCAGACGCTGAGGAGTGGAGCTTCTCTGCTTATTGCATATTCACAAATAGTCAACTGTGTGCAGTGAACTCAGACTGATTGCTTTGCAAAGTGACTATTTGATCTGCTCCAAACGCAAACCAAGTTTTGGCGTGGAACTCTACTGATAAATAGTTTTGCTAAGCCCCAAAAGCTGAGCTGCAATAAATAGAGCAAGTTAAGGCATTAATCTGAGTTACGTAACTAGCCTGTGTCTAAACATGTGTTTACCAGCTCATTACTCTTAAAACATCTGAAGGACACACTGAGCTCTGGGCCCTTCTGCTATCCACTGGTAAACACCATCCCAAACATCTCCAGTCTAGGAGACCGCAAGGGAGAGGGAAAAAATAATAAATATTAAAAGGCTTGGTCCTGATTCAAGCCAAACCTGCTTTTTAATCACAACTTTTATAGACGGTTGGTCGCTGAAGAAGGAACCAACAGATTTTTAACAGAGCAGAGAGAAAGAGGATAGTGGAGTTAAGAGAGACGCTAGCCACAGTTGTGGCATACATTCAGACTACAGGCATACCCCAAAGCAAGAGAATCTGCTTGACTGTCACCAAATTAGTGGCTTTTGAGAATGCACAGAGGACACTTTGGGGCTTTTTTCCTAGGAATTCCCTATTATAGGATGCAACCACCAAACCTGACTGCAAGGAGCCCTCTTTGTCCTGTATTTATCTCAGAAACCAGGCAGTGTGAGGACAAATAGATCTATTAAAACATAAGCAAGTCTATATTATTAATAGAGAGCAGAGGAACTGGAGACAGATCAGGAGTGAAGCAGAAGGAACACCACAGACCAAAGCACATTACACAAGCTGCTCTAGCTGATGCCAAGGGGCGAGCGCTCCAGAGCAGGTTATCACCATCTAAATAATTGTCTGAGGACAGGTAGGGAAGGGTCCTGAAACACACGCATTTCTTTTGGAGGGTGATCTGCTGAAGTTCTGCTGCCAACCAGCCTGTGACAAGGATCCGTTCTGCTTCTCAGCGCACTGGGCTGAGTCACTGAAGCATCATCTGTGCCGGTCACCCGCGGCTGCGAGGAGCGGAGCCTCCGGAGCAAGGAGGGGGGATGAGACAGAACTCACGTTCAGAGAGCTGCTAGGAGACTGTCAGAAAGCCCCGAGCCCCTTGCCCTGCGCGCGCCCATGTAGAGTAGCTTTTGTGCGAGCTGAAACAGGGAAGTGTTGGAAAAACAGCTTTGCAATCTAACAGTTTCAGGAACTAAGCAGAGCCCCAAATTAGAGAGGTCCTTATTTACAAGTCCCTAACTTTGTATACGTACCAAAGCAAGGATTCTCAGACTGCATAAAATAGCAACCTCATCCTTCTACTTCTATCTATCAACTCAACACATCCTTCGAGTCTAGCTCCACTAGAGCGCCAGACATCATCAACTATTGAAGCAACCAAAAAGTGCGTTGCAACATAAAGGTAGGTCTAATTTTTTTTTTTATGTTACATATATACAAACACTTCTTAAAACCACAAACATTTGAAGAAAGTGTTGTAAATGCATATGAATTGTTCCTAAGCTGCTTAACCCAAAAGAGAATGTCAGAGTCCCGAAAGTGCCCCAGCACCTAGACTGAAATGATACCCTATTTCTCCCTTCTACAGCATTAGGCAAGTCTGGCACAGTATTTCAAATAACAAACAACTCCCCTGCCCCTAAAAAACCCAGAAGACAACCCTGCAGATGAATATTCACAAGCCCCCACTAATGGCTGCCATAGGGTTACGGACTGTCGTTTCTAAATGAGCAGCGAGTGATGTTTTTACATTCATTGTTTGTCCTTCAAAAGCAATCCTTTCACATCGACATTTTTAAAACGGAGTTTGATATCTCATCCTGTATTAATCTATTTTGTCTTAAGAAGTACTAAGAGAAAGGCTGCTATAAGGCCATATTCTTTGTTAACTGAATATATATAAAAGATACAGATCTCTAACAAAGTACTACAACCTGCCCTCAAATACATACACTTCCTTTAAGTGACTTCATATGAGATACCTGCATTTAGAGACAGAATTTTTGCCTTGAGAATTGGCCATTTTGAACAGATGAGATGCACAAACCAACTCATGGACACTAACGCAGTCAATGTGTTTGCCCTTCAGAACACAAGCTCCTGAAAACCCTCCAAAAATTGAATGCTTTCTCCTTTCAGGAAATCTTAATTCAAAGAACAGCTTGATTTGTGTGTGATAATCACAAATTAAATAAACCAGCCATAAAGGCCAGATAAATATTAGTTTTGGACATGTTGCTAAAACTATTTAGAGAGCCACAAAGACCAACACACAGCACTCTCACATACGCATGAAAGCCTTTCCACTAGTTAGAAAGGATTCTCTCCTGCAAAAGAGGACTTGTAGAAAGAACAACATTCAGACAAGAGGAAAGGGGAGTTAAAAACCCAGCCTCCTATATGCTAATAAATAAACTGCTCTATTGCAAGATTCAGATCAAAGGTTTAAAAAGGCAAAATTATGCTACTATTAGAGAATATCAAAATATTACTGTTATCATCACAAGTGGCATATATGCAAAATGCAGTTGCACAATAATGCCTAGGCAGATAGAGAGCAACACTAAGTCTGCCGACTAAAAGTGAACAATATACCCATTTTAGTTTTCTGTCTAGTCTTTTGGCATCTTTGCATATGGTGCAAAAGCAGAAGCTACCAAAGAATATCACGTCTTGTATAGAATATTAATTAATTTCTCCAGATAAGACTGGTGCAACACTAGCTAATTTTAAATCTGCTATGAGTAACACAGTCAAACCTAGTTAGTATGCAAGAAACTTATCTCCTAACACAGAATGCAAAGTTATGATGCAACAGCATGAACAATCCCTGGTTGTCCAGTTTTCAGTAGAAAGGTAGTGCATAGATCCAAGTTGCTATTTCAGGTTGCTGAACTGAGAAGCAGCTTCTGTTTCACTTTTGCTGGGCAGCCTGGAAAGCTTTCAGTTCCAGCTGGTACCACTCTGGCGCCTCTGGCCCATTCTGCCCCACGGGGTTGTGGTCGTATCCGTAAGCCACTGTCAACTCTTCATCCTTCTCCACAGCCCTGATGGTACGGATACACTTGATAGGCCCAAAACGAGGATGAACAAACCTAGACAACATGGACAAAAAATACTTTCAATAAACTTGCAACTGCCAATTGACAGCCTATGTTTAGCCCCTCAAGTCACTCATGGTTGAGCGAGATGTCACATAATGAATGTTAGATGAACAGACTTTACGTGTAGAGTCACCTTCAATTAAGATTTAAGTAATCAGGCTACAAATACAGGTACATTGGAGCAGTATTGTATAGCCCTGTTAAAGTTTTTCAACAGTCTTTTAATATTGCTTGCTTTTAATGCCAAAATAAAAGAAAGGCAAATATGCCACATGCCTCAGACCTGCAGTGCTAAGTATCCGCATGATGCAAAAACAATATAAAAGCAATATAGAAACAATAAAAGACTGGACAGCATGGAAAATTGCTCACCTTTATCTCCCCAGCACTATGTAAAAAAAAAAAAAAAAAAAATCACAGCAGACTTCTGCATATCTCCTCCAGGGTCTCATCAGGGAGGAAACCAGCGGATTTAACAGAAGATGACTACTTTCCACATACATACATACCTATCTGCCCACTTATATTTTTGGTATAAAATACATGTGTCCTTGAAAATATGCATACATCAAACAGTATTCTAGTGTTCTGCACCAACTTGTTTATCAGCAAGATCCTTAATTTGGGGGTTTCAGAAATGACAGCACATTTGACAGTGCCGGCCAAGCATTTGCAGTTCAGCAAACACAGTGCAGCCCTAGCCAAGCCAGGATTTAGACAGCCGCCCTCATGCATTTTAGGATCAGCAACAAAGGCAAAACGTTTGCCAGTTTGAAGACACCCTCTCAGCTAGTTGCAAGTGCTCACAATGCCAGCAGGTTTCCAACTTGATCCAGGCGACCAGGAACTGCTTGAGCCCGTAACCCTTGGTCCCAAGGGACAGAGCTACTTACGGGTCGTAGATGCAGTTAGGAGTGAAAGAATGGTTGGCCTTGTGCCCCAGCGAGGCACAGTACTTGGCAGCATGGTTGTAGGGCTCCGGCACGTCGATGACTGTCTCATCATCCAAGGATATCGTGTTGCCATTCAGGGCCCAGTCTCTGCTGTCTACCTAGTTTGCAAGGCAAAAAAACAGTGTATGTGTGTGGGGGGTTAACTTTGCAGCAAGTTTGAAAGCAAATACACTGAAACGAATGCAACTGAAGTTTTCCTGTGTATGAGGCATTTCAGAAAAATCTGGATTTTTTTTTCTTTTAATGTAGGCAAACATGCACTTCCTTTCAATCAAACGCTATCTATTAAATCTTACAAGTGGGGAAAGGGTGGGTGGGTAAGTGTCAAATCCTACTGCAAGAAAATGATTTCAGAAGGAGCAATGAGAAATCAGACTGACTTTTTTCTCTCCTTTACCTCCTGGTGTGTAATTCGCACTCCATTGTAAAAGGACATAACGGTACGAGCTTCGGCTGCTATTTTTGAAAACAATCCTTCTCCAGCACTGGAAATGAGAGAGACATCAACATACACCCTAGAAGAGAAAAAGTTACAATTTTAAACTTCAAGAAGTTATTACCACACCAATACTGGTCAAAAAAAGGGCAATTTTAAACTTCCAAATACAACCTTTCTTCTTTGCTCTCCTCCATACTCTCCTTCTATTTGAAAATATGGAGATGGAGAGGAATCTTACCTACCAATTTGCAAAACACTTTTGTGAATCAATCATGTATTTGCTCTTAACGCTCCATGACGGCTTCAATTCGGGAACACCCTCAGCAATATAGCAGAATCTCAGAGGTTTCCACTAAACTGCAGTTGATGGAGGCAATGGTGTTGTATATTCACAGGCTATTACACCCCTGAGCAAGAGTATTCAAGATGGAGGCCTGCATCTTGATGCAAATTAATGCCAATACTTTCCTAATCACTTATTTAGGCATTTCCAAGGACTACAATTAAGAATCCTACAGGACAGATCTTCTAAAAGTTTGGGCAAAAAGTAAATAATATGATGTACTGTGTACTAGCCACAGAAAATTACAAAAGATAACACCAACTCACTAGCATCTAGGCAATCTGCTGAGATACATGGTATTTTGACAGCACAGGGCTGTCCCAAACACAATCCCACTTTCCTCTGGCTTGACGATTTATTCCCACCATTCTACATCAGTAGGGATGAGAGCAAACTTTGTACAACACATGACATTCAGAGAGACACCAACTCAGCACATATCAACATGAAACTAGTTAAACACCTAGAAAAGAAACACCAGAATGGTTTTTTGCTAAGCATGTTGTAGATGTGGGCTATTAGTGGAGCTCAGCCCTGAATGAATTTGGCTTTGAAATACTAAGAAGTTATCCTAGTTTAATCTTTTTAAAAAATAAAGCTATGTTCTATCCATTAGAGTGTAATTTTAATGTGTAAATCAGAAAGGAATTCAATCAAGTCAAATATTGAGTAAGATGAAGTAACGGTTTCCATATGACAAACCCTTATATATGTTTTTAAATGAAAAAAAGGGTTTGCAAGATCAGGCCCTAAATGCATCACAGCCAAGAAAAATTGACATTTTGAATGTGAAAGAGGAAGAGGAAGGGAAAAAAGGAGCCTACCTTTCTGACTCGTAAGGATCAGGAAGAAGTGCATTTGTAGAAATGCAGGATGAAGTAGATTTGTCAAAACTGTATATGGGGCCTAAAAGATAAAACAAAGCAATTAAATTAATGGACAATACTGAAAACGTGCAACTCAGAGCAGACATTCAAAAATCAAGTTCTAATGACTGCAAGGAATAAATGCTGTGCTTCAAAAACAGTATTGCACAGTGCTATACCCATAAAAGAAGCAGCCTACAGTGAAGTACTACTTTTTTATTCCTTTTCCCTTTCTTAACATACCACTGCAACAGCATATCCTCACAAAAAGTAATAACTATGTTTCTTAGAGTAATACTTTTAAGGAGTGCCCGGACAACCACGAACAACCCATCCAAGGTCTTGAATTAAGAAATAAAGCAAAAATTTAAAAGGATATACTAAATAACACATTCATTAAAAAAAATATTTCAAGTAACATTTTTTTTTTAAGCTTGAAACTAGATGAGATTTCAGCCAGAAGATAACATTGAGTAATCACAAAGTACGTTTGTTGCAGTACCTCATTTATTTTTGGTCATTATTAAACAGCTTGGTGGAAACCTCTGACTGTATTCCTAAACCCCTCTGCATTCAACTGCCAGGAAATTATTAGGGATAGCCTAAGATGCAGGTGGAAATAAAAAAGCGGGAAAAAAAAAAAAACAGGATATTGCCAAGTTTGATAAAAGGCCATTGTCCCTGGCATCTAGGTTCTAAAAATGGATCTGTTCTGACTGAAGCCAGCAACAGACAGAGTGTAATTGTATCCTGTTTACAAAGCACAACTGTACCCTCTCAGAAGATCCATCTTAAGTTAAATTTTGATTTACTCTCACTTCTGTAAGATTTAAAAAATAAAATGCCATATGCACTTTTGAATTTCTCATTTCCTTTTTACTGAGTTTTATATTCTTATTTCATACTTAAGATGGCAATCCTTGCTGGCACGATATTTATCATTGTTAGTATAAGGAACTTAAGGAAAAATTTCTTAACAGTGAGGGTGACAGAGCCCTGGAACAGGCTGCCCAGAGAGGTTGTGGAGTCTCCTTCTCTGGAGATCTTCCAAACCCGCTTGGACGCAGTCCTGTGCCACGTGCTCTAGGTGACCCTGCGTGTGCAGGGGGGTTGGACTAGATGACCTCGAGAGGTCCCTTCCAACCTTAAGCATTCTATGATTCTGTGTTCACATGTGTGCTCCTGTCCACAGATTGACACTCTCCCCACAAAATACCACATTTACCTCACAGAAAAGGAAAAAAAAAAAAAACACTCCAGGCTTTAAGGGAAAAAATGCTACAGGCCCACATGGCCATGGCCCTGCAGAAAGCACACTGGCTGCTTGGGGAGAAGGTGCCACACTGATGCCAACCATTTTATAACCATTTTAGATCAGCACGACTACCCAGACAGATGGGAGCCGGTGAATCACACCGCTGCACAACAACTGAATCAACTGCATTAATTCTAAGTCCTGTGTCCTTTCAGCCCCTTAACATCCATGGTGCTAAAATCTGCTTGTGCAAACGCAGCACCCAGGACTACAAAGGAAGCGCAGCCTCCCTCTTCACTCACAGCTATTTTGCTAACAAAACCGAACCCGCAGCTGTGCCAGCCCCAGCGCTGTCAAGCAGGTTTTCACGATGGCAGAGGTGGCTACGGTATGTGCGCCAGGCAGGACTGTGCCCGTGAGAAGAGCAATGAAAAGTAATTAACTCAGCGGCACCATTGCATGGGTCACTTCTCATTTTTCACCCTCTTTATTTTCTTTTTTTGAAGGGGGTGAGGGTGGGTGAATAAAAAACAGGCTAGAGACCGAGCTGCTTGCAGGGAAGGGCTGGCAGCAAGAGAGAAAGCTGCTGCATTAGCTGTACTTACTGCCTGGTACTACTTCAAACTGAGGTTTCCCATCCTCTACAGACGTCAGAGTGGCCAGTTTTGCTTCTATCATTTCTCCATCTATGAACCTCCCAGAATATGCAGTTTTTCCATCAGGGTACACGTAAGCTATTTTCTCTCCAGTCATTTCCCCTTCTTCATTCACTTCTCCCACCAGGCTGCCTCCATCCTGGGAGCATGTGCGAGAAAAAAAACAAAAAGAGCATTTAAATATATGTTACTATCTTTTGTAAACAACAGACATTTTCTGGCTTTTTTAAAGAAGCAAGCTAAAGTACAGCAAGTTCAGATGAGAGCTAACGAAGAGTAGACACATGCAGACACACAAATAACTAAAATCTAATCTCAGTCATTATTAAATTGATATGAGAATGATCTGGACCTTCTGTCTTGTTTGAAATAGCAAACTCCATTTTGTTTCCCTTCCACTTTGATACAAAAACACTGGGTTTTGATTTGCAGAATTTTTATGTGAACAGTCTGTGAAAGAAGGCACAAACTAAACAAAAAAAAAACTCTACATTTCTTACCATGACATTGTGCTGCAGAAAAAACAGCAACAACAACACTGGCTTGTGCACTGCGGAGTGATGGTGCATCAAAGGAGTCCCCACACGTGAGGAGACACACAACGAGAAGGTTGCTTAGTGAAAGCCAGCAACCCTTTTCCCCACCAAGCTTTGTGGATTTTAGCCTAAGCTTTGCCACCCGTTATTTGCCTGCAACTCAGGTGAGCTCTATTTACAGCCGTGCAGAATGAGATGCACAGGTCTAACAACTTCAGGTGTTTACTTCCGAAGGACAAGGAAACAAACAGAAATAATGCCTTAGAGCCAAAGACTGACATTTCCTGAGCACAACACCTTCCAAAATACATTTCCAGAAGGTATAGCTACATTTTCTCAGCTGGAAGATGAAATAAGAGACACATGACATGTTGGGTCTGTTGTGTGTATTTTATACATTATAACTGAAAACCTGCTAGTTGTTTGGTGGTGTACAGCAAGCATTTATTGATTCTAACACAACATGCTTAACGAGAATAGAGAAAGCCAGTTAATATAAGGAATGGCTAGTGATGAGCATTTGCAACCATACTCACAACTAGAGCAAGGGCAATATGTAGCACAGAAGCAGAGTGCTTTTGACCAGCAGTGTAACAACAGCAGCTGTTATTATATACACATCTCTGTGACTCCAGTGACTCTCGTGATCTTCAAAAGCCAGAGCTGCCAAGGGATTGTTACTAAGGTGCTACAAACAAGCGCTACAAACAAGTTGAGCAGACCCAAGTGCTGCTTAAAAGCAAATATGAATAATAATCGGAAATGTAGCAATCATTATTGCTTTGAGTAAGTAATATCATTTTAAGAGTATATCCAAAGTTGTCCAGAGTTGCCCAGAGGAACGCCTCAGTGTTTACTAACAGGCAGAAAGACCAAACCTTGGTTTGCTTCATGAACAAAGCACTTGTCTGCCCTCTGCTCAGATGCATGATTCTCACACCAGCTGCATCATGTTTACTAGAACAGGCCAGACTTGGCACCAAATTCTGCAGAGCACACTCTGTGGCACGTTGCAATAGCCTGCACGGCTCCCGTGCCCCTCTTCTGCAGTTGGCATTAAATGGCAGACTGACTGGGACAGCCTTCCCGGGGCTTCCAAGGGGCTGTTATCCTTGGAAGATGAAAACGGGAGCGGCACCTTGCAGCCTCACTGAACCCTATCTACTAGGCAAGCACTCAATGCTGAAATGTTTGACTGTATATTGGACTACCCCAAATCAGTACACACAGAGCTTCCCCTCAGATTTTTATACTGACCTTTGGATAGCTCAGTCTTGGGTCTGTTGTGTGTCAAATGTGGGGGAAAAAAAAAAAGAAAAGAAAAAAGAAAAAAGAAAGATGCAGAATGGTACTACTACGCAGCAGAGAGCAGGAGGTCAGGCTTACCGGGTAATATATCCAACAAACTCCGTGTCGAATGTTGTCTTTATACTGCCCTTTAAATATCAGCCGCCCATCGCTGTCGTACTCCTGGGCAGGTCCGTTCAGTTCTCCATCCACGTATGTGCCGTGCAGGACCACTCCATCCTCGTACGTGTAGATTCCCTGGCCTTGCAGCGCATCATCAACATAGTACCCTTCCAGTGTGCTGACAAGAGAGAGGAAAGAGCAGGGGAAGACTACTCACCCCTTTAGATGTGCATCCAAACCCCTGACTCTAGATACAGGAAGATCTCCCCCGCACTGCTCATTCTACATATTACTGATAAAAAGAGACCATGGGGAAAGTTTCATTCAGAGCATCTGAATGATGAAGCCTGGTTTTCTATTGAGAAGTGCCCTGCAACCTTTCTCTAAGTACTCACCACAGCTATAAGAACTCCGTTTTTTTTCCCCCCTCCTCTTTCCTTTTTTCCCTCTGACCTCTCAAACCTCATCTGTGCCCATCTCTCACAGGACAGAGGAGAGCCCAGGAGTCAGACCTCCTTGTAGACGGCCTGGCCTTGCAGGGGACACATGCTGCAAGGCCTGGCAGTTTCTCCCTAGGCTTCTAATAGCCAAGGGGTCCCACACTGGGATACCAGCTTGAGTGTCTCTCTTCCACCCCTACTAGTCATCACTACCCTGATGGGTCTTTGTCTCAGGTGTTTCCTATTTGCAGCTAAATTGGGTGGGGTGGGGGGGAACATGAAGGTGAGAGAATGAAAACAGAAACCTATGCACATGAGAGGGGAAGCAAGAGATCACATAAGCCTAATTTCTTTAGGAAACAAAGATAAAATACAAGCTTGTTCCTACCAGCTGCTGAGGGAAAGCGCAACTTGCAGTGCGTGCGCGCTCACCAGGGCGCACTGCAGCGTGTGCTACTGCGCGCGCACAGCCGCCTTCGCCTCAGCTGCCTTCTTCAGCCCTTTCCTTACAGGCTGGGACAGCAAATTAAAGCAGTCAAGGGCCCATTCGTGGCCTAGTAAGAAACTACTGTTTAAGCGGGCCACTCTCACATGGGATTTTTCCTACCTCCTGGCTTTGGATCTTCCAAAGCATTTCTTTGGTGACATGGAGTTGAACTGCCACCATGTAGCATAGCACTAACTATAACGTGCCACCAGTTCAATGGTAGCTCACTACCAATAAACCTGGCAGCAATCTCTACTCGATCAGCTGGAGGAACTGTTATTTTTTTCATGTATTTCTGTTAAAGCAGAGTGCAGCTTGTCAAACAGAACTAATGCTACGTTTTGATTTCAACAGCGACACATCGATTTTCACTTCAGTTGTGTTTTGCAATCCCCGTAGAAGATGTGTAATAAAGCCCTTACAATCTGCTTTCTGTCCTTTCTTAAAAAGGGCAGGTGAGAAAACCCACAAAGAATGAAAGAATACCTGACTAGATCTTTTTTTACTGTATTTCTTTCTCAGGTTAGACATAGACAAATACAAACCGTTCAGTTTGTCCCTATCATATTCTCCGGCCTATTTAGCTAATGTACACATACTTCCACTGCTGCATCATCCTTTTTGACACAGACATCTATGGGAAAGGCTCGAATTGTTTGTCTGGGATCACAAGACTCTACGTGCTTTACAAAACTTCACCTGTTTTTCAACAGATGCTGTTGAACAGTATCTGAACAGTATGCTGAATAGATATTTTTTCAAACTAACTTCCTCATTTCTAAAGCTTCATTCTTTGATTTTACAATTTTTTTTTACAAATACACTTCAGTAAAAGAAAGTAAGCTATCCATGACGTATGTGCTTAAAACACAATCTCAGCTTTGGCTTTGCACATGCGTCTTTGGAGCGCTGCATGATTTTTCAGGCAGACTCGTTTCTCAATCCCGGTTGCTGCAGAGCAACATGGGCAGCTGCAGCAGCTCATTCAGGGAAGGAGACGAGCAGACAACTAAATCACCAGAAACTGATGTGCTTTACTTGAGAAACGAGACCACCTTCCTCGTTCTCCAGATCAACAAATCTGAAATTCTTTGAAGCTGGTAGCACACACAGAACTCACACCTAAGATTGTTCTTTAAAAGAAGAAGCTACCCCCCATGTGTGTAACCAAACTGCAGAAATAATCACCATCATCTTAGTTTTAATCAAACCAACTGCAGCCAAAAAGTTGCTAAATTAGAAATGTTCTTCAGCACTTACAAAAGTGCCTTTTACTTTTATTCAAATCTCTGGGGTTTGTTCATTGTTTCAAGCTCTGTAACAATGTAGAGAAATCCATCTATTTCTACTTCCATAGACTATAAAGAAAATTAAAATAAAAAGAGAAAAAAATGTCAAAAGTAAACATCTGTTTTTCAATACTGTCTAATAAATCCAGTTTTCTAAACCTTTTGTACTTGTCACACTTTGGGGGTCTCTCTCTCCCTTCTTAGCCTATTAAAATTCTAGTGTTTATAGCAGACACTAAGGCCTTATCAGCATTAAGTGGCAGACCACTTGATATGTATTTAAATGTTAAATACATAAATAAACAACTACTTCCTGAATCTGCATATGCCCAATCTTGTCAACACAAACCCCGAGCTAGCCCACATTCCTCCAGTTTGCTTCCCAGATTATCATATTGGGGACAACGTAATCGTGTCTTTAGTGAAAGTTTATCAGATGTAATGCCTTCTCACTACCAGACCTAGAAAATATCTAGGATATTTACAACCTAGTAATTATTATGGAGGGAAACTGATGCGCTATGCTTCCAGGTACTGAAGTTACAACCGTTAACCTATAAATCATTCCATAAATCATATGGAAATAATGAAAATGCTCCAGAAAGGATGCTGTTCCCACTGTGGATCGAGATGATGGTTTAGCAGAGAGTTTCTA